TGCATATGGATTTTCAATTTAGTTCGGCGGATTTGTGATCTAGATCAGGGATCTGGTTTATGGAGCCGGTCGTTAAAAATTTTAAAAGTTTGAAAAAATAAAAAAGTTGGGCTTAGTTATGTCAGAGAACCGGTGAGAACTGGTTGTGTAATGGGGGAATTGGCTTTTTTTTTTTTTCACATTTATACACCTCAAGGTTGAGACGATTTCAGGGTTTTGTAACATCAAAATATCTTCTAATGAAATTTTGAGATGTGCCTTAATTTTATTGCTTAGTCCCTCAATCTTATATAAATTTTTTCCTAAAGAATTTTGAAAAGAAAAAGATGATAATTTTGAAAACCTAGATGGGATTGTCCATCAAATCGATGAAGGAAAAACAATGTGAGGGTGAGTATCCATTTTCAAGCACTTATGGGGCTCCAAGCAATTATATTATTCTAAAAGTTGATTTTAGAGATAAAGCAAGGTGACCTAAAAGTTTTGGGGCAAGCAAATCTCCTTACACATGGTGTTCTCTCCGGGGGAGCAAGTGTACAATTTGCTCTGGCGAAAATATTTTCCCATAACTTTTACATTCCTCTTTTGCTTGACACTCCTTTGTTTTCTTCCTTGGAGTGGTTGGTATCATGTGAGAGTTAAATGGTTGCAATTGCAAAGGGTAAGAATGATTAGACCACTAAAAAATAATCAAAAATAAAATTCGTGAGAGACGGTAAAAATTTGGGAAATCTTACTATAGAACTTATCCATATTAAATAAAAAGGAAATAGTTTGATAGGGCTGCAGCCCTATCAAAATAAGTAAACCCTCACATCCATATGCATTGAGAAGTATAATCCTCACACCAGAAATCTTTTACATTGATTGCAAAGGGTAAGAATGATTAGACCACTAAAAAATAATCAAAAATATAAATTCGTGAAAGAAAGTAAAAATTTGGAAAATCTTACTATAGAAGTTATCCATATTAAATAAAAAGGAAATAGTTTGATAGGGCTGCAGCCCTATCAAAATAAGTAAACCCTCACATCCACATTCATTGAGAAGTATAATTCTCACACCAGAAATCTTTTGCATTGATCATTTAGGCCTTGGCCGTAAAAAATATTTAAGATTTCAAAGTTTAAAATAGTGTATATTATAACATATTATCTATTTTGACCTAAAAATAAATGTTCACGGATCCATAAGATCCTTACTATTTTTTAATATTCGAATTTCATAGTCCATGTTGAAAATTAATTTTAAAGCCTTGATAGAAATTTTCGATTTTAAAGTGTTTTTCAAAGATTCAAACTAAGGCTTACCTTATTTTTATAAAGCCTAGGCCTTATAGAAGATACACCTTAAATAAAATTATATAACATAAATACAAAAAGAAAAGCTTTCTATGTTCCCCCTACGACATACAACTTCTATGGTCCCCCTTATCCAACCATCTATTTTTTAGTAGAGGGCTAATATTGCCTCAATCACAATGTCATGTCTCTACACTATTTTATTTTTAATTTTTCTTCTATAAACTATTTTGACACCAAATTTTGGACATCCATTCGTCTATTAAACTCGCATTAACTAAAAATATAAAAACAATATTTTCAATAAAATAAAATGATCAAAATACCCCTGAAAGCTTTAAGGGGTATTTTGGTCATTATTTTATCAAAAAATTATTGTTAATATTTTTTATAGGTGCGCCCCAATTAGAAGTTGGTACGTACTAAATTTTATATTAAAAAAATTTATTAAAAAAACTAAAAATAAAATACTTTAAGACGTCGGATCTAAGATTAAACGTTGAGTGACTCTCTTGATAAAAAATTGACGGTCAGATGGTAAGGAAAGGATAAAACTTCTACGTTGGAAGAAAAACGTATAAAGTTTTCTATATACAAAAAGACTGTATTAATTTATTTTAGTTATAAATTCTCTGTCAATGGCAAGAAGTCGGTGAGTCCTTTCTGTCTTAACTTTAGGGTTTAACTGTTTAAGAGTAGGGACTCTTACATCAACGTCCAAGGTTGCATTCATATCTATCCACCCATGAAAAAGGAAATTGTCAAGAAAGAGTTGGCGGCTTGCACATGAAACGCACATACGTGCACGGAACGTATGATTTGATGGTCCAAATTAGTATAGTACACGTTCTACAAGATATTATTGGGGTTATATTTTTACCTAAAATAGTTATATTTTTATTTAGAATTTTAAGGTTTTAAAATTAGGCAAGGCAAAATATAGAGTGTAAATTTAGTAATAATAGAAATAGCAATGAAGAATTTGTTACAATTGATGGTCAAGAAAAACATAAAAGAGGTTTCCTTCAATATCGTGGGTAAAAAATCCAATAAAATGGTAAGATTAATAAATATTTCGTATAAAAAAAATAGAGGTAGGTGGATGAAGTAGAGATGTCCTTTTGAATTCCTATGTGATCGCCGCAATCAATTGAAGTTGAAGCAAATACTTTATAGGGTAATTATAAGACCAGTCATACTTTATGGAATGGAACGTTGGGCGGTCAAGAAACAACTAAACACATAAAATAAGTGTAGCTGACATGAGGATATTAAGATAGATGAGTGGCAAGACAAGAAAATATAGAATTTAGAACAAATGCATCAGAGAGAACTTAAAGGTGGCACCAATAGGCGATAAGATGAGGAAAAGTAGACTTCGGTAGTTTAATCATGTGCACTGTTAACTTAGAACAATGCTGGTTAGGAAGGGCGATTTAGTTCAAGTAGAAGGTTCTAAAATGGTACGAAAAATGCCCAAAAAGATATTGATGAAAGTAATGAGAAGAAATATGGTGACCTATAGCCTAACTAAGATATGATCTTTGATAGAGTGGAATGACGGAAAAAAATTTGTGTAATCGACCCTAAATAGTTGGGATAAAGCTAAGAAGATGGTGACAATGGTTTTCGCATCTTTTCATCCTTGAATCAACAAAAAACAAAGAAAATTATTTTGTAGGTCAAACTACCCGTGTTTTAAATAATCCACCAATTGTTTTTTATTCTGCCACCCAGAATACAAGTGGTATTACAATTTGGAACTTTACTTTGGTCACCCAAAAGGTCGAATTATTCCAATTTGTTTTAATGGGGAAACCTCACTTCGGCCACCATATTTTCTTATAACTCTAAAGACGCCATTGTCATTTTATTTTTGGAAAACCTTTCATGTGTCTCTCCACACATATGTCTCTCCACACATAGATGCCCATAGTTGCTTGAAATCGTTGTCATGAGCCAACCGCATTTTTCAAGTGATAATTAATGGATGACATTGTTTTTTTTTGAAATAGTTTAGGAGCTAATTTTTTGAAAGTGCCAGTAAGTGGTGTGAGTAAGAATGAAAACCATAACCACCACAATCCCAACTTTTTTCCCGATTAATATATGATATTGTTGTTAGCTTATTTTAAATCATCCGATCTTCCAATTAAAATCGAAAAAATAAAAATGATTATACTTGAGTTTTAAATCGTCATATTTCCCCTCCAATGGTAGTAGTTGAAAGAGACATTGCAAAGGGACACAGAGCCTTGGCATCTCACCCAGTTGCTCAATTAGGTGAGGACTTAATGGGCAAGAAGGAAGCTATTATATAGGATGCAAATAGAGAAACCACATAGAGGCTGATTCGTTGCCTAAGGAAGGAGTATATTATGCAGGTAAAAGTGGTCAGAGAGCATGAAGAGGAGCAAATGTGCAACTAAAGAACTTTGGACCTAGCATGCATCATTTTAAGAAGTGAAGTTCATACTTGAAAAGTTATTGAAATGTCCACTTTAACATTAAGAAAAAAGGATTAGAAGCATTGAAATTTTGCTGAAAAAAGGGATTTATTTGTTGTGTTATCATATCCTTAAAAAGATCAGTGATGATTCATTAATGAAATTGAAAATCATTAGAAGTTCAAAAATATCAGACTAAAAATATTTTAAAAGTGATTGTTATATTTAATCTATAATTAGAAAGGAAATTGTACAAACACTAGAAATTGACAATAGAATGTCTAAATTTTAAAAATAATAAAATTTTGTAATTTCAAAATTCTAAAAAGTAGTCACAAACTATTTTGAAGCAAAAACATTTACATCTAAATTATAATTTTTTTAAATGATTCATTTGATATATTTAAAAATGAGAATAAAAATTAAAAGGGGCAAAGAGAGTTTCAGATAGTGTGTGCTTTGAGATGGAGGATATGAAAAAGCTCCATGAACTTCCAAAGCAAAAAGACTAAATCTCAGGCATTCAAGTTTTTTTTTCTCCTTCTTTGCCTTTGATTTTTCTATTTTGGGGTGTTCAGTTTTAGCCGATATTGAAGCCTTTCTTTGTTGTTCATTCTGGTTAGGGGTTTTTCAATTGAGGGAAAATTTAATAATTTTTCTTTCTCACATTAAGCAGTTTTGATGTACGGTAAGAAAAGATATAACGACTTATGGTCTTATTGAAAGTATGTCCCGTGAAAGAGCAGAAAGACGGACAAAGATTTGTATAACCAAACCCAAATAGTTGACAAAAAGCTCGATGAAGATAATGGTGTATCATGTATGATATTTATATTGATATTTAATGTCATGGTTCTAAATTGATAAATGGAGTTGCAAATGATTAGTACCGCTGCCAAATTTTCCTTGTACAGGCAAGTCCAAGGGGTTTTTATACCCATACAGATCTCGAGCCAACAACCTAAAACATTGTTTTACAAAGACTCTAAACAATGAAAATATAAAATGTGGATTTCATCCGGATGCTATATATTCAGCATATACCTGATGTTCAAATTTAAAACAACTGATGAAATAACAAACTGGGATTGGAGTCAAACCCAGATTTTATATTACCTTGAGCCAGACGGGCTCTAATGTTTTAAAAACACTCCCTTCTTGCATAGAAAACTTGCTTCTTGTATCTCCTTCCCCCAAAGAATAGTTGCAATGAAATTGAAGAAGCAATTCAGATTATAATTTCCCCAACATGGATTACAAATATAATAACATTTTGATTCTTATCAAGAAATAATAAATAATAATGAAATAATGCTCACAAATAAACATACGCATGACATGACTCAACCGGAGTGCCAATCAAATAAACCATAATCCTGAACCCAACTATTGTTGAAATGCGAGACACCAACCTACCAAACCCAATCCTTGTGCTTCTCACAAGTGCCTTCATGAGAGAGATTTCCCATAGAGATTAGCATACAAAACCTTGGTTCGATGCATGGCAATCATACTCAACACTGCCGCGAAGATGCACAACCCCTGACATGACCATAAGGGTCAGGAAAAAACACACTGCTCCAACACATTGTAGGGTATCTTCAGTGCTTAGTGGCCTAGAAAGCATACTCCATATCACCCCTAAGAAGCTTGTTTTGGGGTGTAAACCTGAGCTTGTTTCTGAGCTTCATAATCATAAATAGTACTAGCTATCACCCCTGAAAATACAAGGGCACCAGCTGGGTTTGCCAAGGTGATGAAATTATACAAGGTGCCAAAGTTCTTCAAACCAAATAGTTCAGATGCAGTGGCTGGGACGACAGCCCAATGTGTGCCGTAACCGAGGCCTATGAGTAAGGTACCAACATACATGACCCCAGGCCATGCCATGGCTAAGAGGAAGTGACCAATGGCCATTACCAATTGTGCTATAGCGAGTGTAAATGGTCTTGGATATGCATAGTGGCTGTTAAGAAAAGAAAAAAGAAGCAAGATATCAGGGGATAACAACTGAAATGATATTGACGTCCTCTAGGTAAAAGAAACAACCATCAGACAAATCAGAGTGAGAGTGAGGCAATGAAATTGAAGATACAAGATGGTTATTTATAGGGATTTCTTTGTGCAATGCCTCAAGAGAGGACATTGTTCCCCAGATGGTCAAATTCTTTGTGTTTCATTTTCTTTTTTCTTTTTCTTGACGCGGTTGTAGCTCAGCAGTAGGAATTAAGCTTAAGCCATAGTACTGCAATTGTCGTCTGTTTTTATGATAGTGTTTGCTGGGGTTTTTGGGAAGAGGATGGTCATGGTTTGTGTTCTGTACTTACTGCTTTTGTATGCTACTGTACCAATTCATTCAGGTTGAGGGTTCCATTGAGTCATCTCTCTCTCTCGCTCTCTCTCTCTCTCTCACACACACACACAATCACCTTTGATCAATGCTTTCATCAACGTGAAATCTTCCCCTCTACGTGGCCCTCTCCTCCTCTTCACACTAACAGCTCCCTCTGCCTCTGCATTTAGCAATCGAGCCTGCAACTCTGCAATTCTCTTCTTCCTTTCAGAAGCTGGAAGCAAATCAACCTCCCTTGGCTTCTCATCCTCAACTTCACTTAGTATTACATCAGGTGTACTTGAGGGTTTCTCATCTGTTTCTTTTTTTAGAGGCTCTTGCAATTGGCTCCCATCAACTGGAGATTAGCAAAATCCTTGGAGGGGTGCGGTTTGTACGACAATCAAAAAAGTAAAGGGCACTTTCAAATAGCCTCGTGGTTTCAATATTGGAAATTTTTGTCCTGATCTTAAGATGTATTTTTATTTTTAATTATAAAATTTTAAGCTTCATAAATAGTGTAGACATAGCATATTTATGAAAATCTTGAAAATTGATGGTCCAAAAATTTATTACAAGATGAATTATTTTTAGAACTTAAAAATCCATTTTTTTTCTGTTATGCATTTTGAGGTTGAGATGATCGGTTTGAGAATATTTGAGCATCGAAACAGCCCTTTTTAGTGAAATTTTTGAAATGCACCATAATTTGATTGTTTAGAGCCTTGCACTTATATAAACTTTGTCCTTCTTGAAATGTTCAGTCTCTAACCTTTCATTTGTCTCGACGAAATAATGGATGTTATCGGCAAAGCCAAGCCCAACCTTAATCTTATTTGGGTCAAGAAAGACCATAAAACAAATGAAGAAAGAATATAAGAACTAATGAGAAAAAAAAGACGGCCGGGCTGAACGAAAAAAGACGGCCCGGCTGAGCCATATTGGGCGAGCCTTGACCCTAGCCATGTCCTCAAGTCACATTTAGGGCCAGGCAGTTAGGGCCAGACAGAATGGGCAATGGGCTAAGCTAGGCTGCCCAGCGCAATGCCAACCCTAATCATTAGGATTTGAGGTTCAGCCGAAATATGCTGATATGAGGTCAATATTTCCGCAAAATTCAGCCGAAATTTTGAGTTTATCGGGCTACATAAAGGGTGGGAGCGAATTACATAGAGGAGGTTAAGAAAAGCTTATTATAATCCTGTAAAATCTCGTTCAATTTTGGTTCGTTGAATAGAGGTACTTGAAGTCCCATAATAAACAACAACTATCAAGCACGACTATCCTTCTTGATGATTATAGATTTTGTCATTCTACAATAAGAAAATGGGGGCACTATGTAAATACACATTCGACAACAATCAATGTCATGTTTAGGAGCAATGATTTTGACCTAAAACGTCATCTTAAGGGGCAATCATTGATGCTTGTAGGGGTGGCAATGGGCCCGACTAGATTCGGGACCTGACAGGTATACCTTACCTCAGGTCTGGGTATGGGTCCAAATTTTGAAACCGAATGGTATTTGGGTCTGGATCCCGATTCTTCACCTGTACTCATAGTCATAGATTATATGATGGCAATTGTATGTCTTTAAGCACATGCTAGGTATTCATATAATCAATATTATTGGCAAAAAAAGAAGAAGAAGCTCATAGTCATAGGGTATATGATGGTAAAAAAAAAGGCAAAAAATTAAATAAATAAGTGCATAGTCATAGTAAAGGATCCGATTAGACCCGAGACCCGAGACCACCATACTATTTGGGTTCGAGTCCGAGTCTAGATCCAACCTGACTCGATTTGTTGCACCCTCAAAATGTTTGGTACATCAGATAGCAAAGGTGGAAACTAGCTGTAGTTGGGAATTTTTTACTTTGAAGATGACATATATGTTTTGGACTCCTTGTATAGCTCATTGTTAATCTCATATTTTAGAAAATGGGTACATCTATATTTAGTGGGGTGATTTCAAAAGCTACGTTTGTTGTTGGATTTATTTATAATCACACCATAATCCTTGGTATCATGATGAGTTTTACAAAGAAAAGAGATACAGTGAGACCATATTCACTAGATTTGCTACATTAATTATCACTCGTCAAAGTCTTTGCAAATAAAAAATGCCTTGAGGACAATATTTGCTTCAGAGCAATGGAGTAAAAGTACATGGTCAAAGCATTAGGATGGGAGAAAGACTGAAATAAATTATTCTCAATATATCTTTTTGGAACAAGATATATCATGCATTGGAGATGGCTAACCCCTTAGTGAGAGTGCTTCGATTGATTGATGGTGAAGTGAAGCCCACCATGGGCTACATATGTAAGGCAATGACTAGGGTACGAAAAAGATAAAAAAATACTTTACTTGAAATTATTGATAGGAGATGGGATAACCAACTTCATAGGCACCTCTAATCCACCGACTACTTTCAAAATTCATCTCTTCACTACAATCACCCAACCATTGAATCTGATCGTGTAATAATAGGTGGATTCTTAGATGTGCTTGAGAGGTTGATCCTTAACAAAGACATCCGAGATGAGATCCAGATGCAAGAAGTGCTTAAGTTTGAGTTAGTATTGAGAAACTCTAGGACAAAAATTACTACTCAAAACAAGGATACTACATATCCAAGTAAAGGCCAAAAATACCGTTTCTAATTTCTATTTTGTTTACTTTACAGTTTTTTACTTGTATAAGGTATAGTTTCAGTTATATAAATAATTAAATATTTATCTAAAATTTAAATTATAAAATGTTATACAGCTGCATGGTGGGTATTATTTGGAAGTGAGACACCAATCTACAATATCTCGCTATTTAAGTGTTGAGTCTCATATGTAGCTCATTTGTTTGCGAACGCAATTAGAGTTCATTTGAGCATATAAGTCCTTAATCATTATTTCTTAGATTTCAAATTTAATTTTTCTAAAATCTAACTTATCTAAGTAGTTTAAAAGTAGAAACAAGAAAATAGCACCTATTACTTTTACTTGTTTCATTGTTTTCTACCATAGCTCCATGCCACAAAAAAAAGAAGAAGGTTGAAGGCAGAAGATGTTGAATGCTATGGTTTATTGTAGTATAATGAACTGCTTAAGGAGAGGTACCAAAAGCGCATGGATCTCAACCCTATTCAATTGTGTAAACCTGATGGTAATCACACAAGTGAGTGGACCATGGATGCATAAGTAGAGCATGTGTTTGAGGGTGAGGATCTTACTTGACTTGATGTCGAGCTAACTAATGAAGAAGAACATCTTAGCACTAGAGCACAAAATAGTAGAACTAGGTCCAGTCACACAACATCTCTAGAGGTCGAGGAGGAGGAGGACTCTGACTCAGAGGAGGCCGAGAAAGAAGAATAAGATGCGGACGCTGGCGAGGATGATAGTGATGATGATGATGCACATGGAAACTCTCTAGATAACTTGTCTAACAAGGATTTGAAATTTAGAATCTCAATACTTGAGAAATGATGAGGATTTGTCTTGACTTTTGGACTCTTTAATCTTCATAGACTTTTAATTTGTATTTTGGAACTTTAAAGTTTGTGGTTGCAAATTTGTGATTATGGTTGTTGAATGATTTATGAAGTTGGTTTCAAGTTTCTAGTTTCCAATTTCTATTTTCTAATGTCTTCTATGATCTATCGGGGGACATGGGATAGTGGATACAAAATCCTTGACAGCTGATACTTTTGGAGTTAATGAATGAATTAAATACCTACTATCATGTAAACTACCTCCATATTTTTTTACATTAATTATTATTATTTTTTTAGATTTTTTAGAATGTTTTTACATTTATTGACGGCATCAGGGTGATGTACCCTCATATGAATCGCATTGCTGCATATCCACCCCAACCTATCGAGCTGCATCTTGCATTTTAAAACATTGTTTCGGAGTTCTATGTGATCGTCGCATACAAATAAAATTGAGGGGGAAACGCTATAGGGCAACTATAAGACCAACCATACTTTATGAGAAATAAATTTAGGCGGTTAAGAAACAACTAAACTCATAAAATGAGTGTAGCTAAGATGATGATGTTGAGATGGATGAATGTCAATATAAGAAAAAATTAAATCTAGAATAAATATATCAGAGTGATTTGGGGGTGGCACCTATAGATGATAAGATGAGAAAAAGTAGACTCCGAAGATTGCTATGTGCATTGTCGACCTAGAACAACATCGGTTACGAGGGGCGATTTAGTTTAAGTGCAATATTCTAAAAGAATAAAAAGAAGACTCAAAAGGGTATGGATAAAAGTAGTGAGAAGAAATGTAGTGACCTATAGCTTGACTGAGTTATGATCCCTGATAGAGTGAAATGACATAACAAGATTAGTGTAGTCAACGCCAAATAGTTAGGATGGCTTAAATGACGATGATTATTTTCACATGTTCTTATCCTTTTGTAGGTCAAACTACACGGGTTAAATAATCAACCCATTATTTTCCATTCTACCACCCAAAACACATGTGTTATTACAATTTCCCACTTTGCTTTGGTCACCCAAAAGGTCGAATTATCCCAATTTATTTTATTGGGAAAACCTCAGTTCGGCCACCATATTTTCTTGTATCTTCAAAGATGCCATGATCATTTTATTTTTGGAGAACCTTTCATGTGTCTCTCCACACATGCATGGCCATGGTTGCTTGAAATCAATTTCATATTAGGAGCCAAATACATTTTGTTTTAAGTTGTAATTAATGTACGACATTGTTGTTAGCTTTCTTCCAATTAAAATTAAATAAAAATAGGCGTGTTTGAGTATTTTTTAGCATAAGGGATCTTTAAATTCTTTGTCAATTGATAAAAAAGAAAAAAAGGATTTGAAAGATTAGAGCTAAGCATCCGTCCATTGCTACGGGGTTTTAAATTGCTCCTTAATTCCCCTCCAATGGTTGTAGTTGGAAGCAAGGTCTTAAGAAATGGATCGGTGACCAGAATTGCCCCTCTAGAATTTTGATTCGGTTATGCAAATCGGCAATCCAGAAAAAAAAAAAAAGTAGGGCTGTTTCAATGGCTAAAAAATAAAATTTATTTCTAGAATCGCCAGTCTAGAATTTTGATTGGGGTGTTCGTTTTTAGCCGATATTGAAGCGTTGTTTGTTGTTTTCTTTGATTAGGGGTTTTTCAATTGAGTGAAAATTTTATAGTTTTCCTTTCTGGGATTAACCGGTTTTGATGTATGGGGAAAAAAAATATAGGGACTTGTGGCCTTATTGAGGGCATATCCCTTGATAGAGTTGAATTGTGGACAAAAATTCGTATAACCAAACCCAAATATTTGAGAAAAGGCTATGATGATGAAGATGATGGTGTATGGTGTAGGACCTTTATTTGATATTTGATATCTTGGTTCTAGATAAGTGGAACGGCAAATGATTAATACTGCTGCCAACGCTTTTTGCCCATATAGATCTCGAGCCAACAAGGATGATTCTGAGCTGGCTCACCGGTTCCCATTACATTGTTTTACAAAGACTCTATATAGTGAAAATATAAAATGTGGATTTCATCCGGATGCAATCCAATGAGCATATACCTGATATCCAAATTTAAAACAACCGATGAAATAACAGACTGGGTTTTGAGTCAAACCGGCTCTAATGCCCTATAAACATTTTCCATCTTGCATTTCTCACATAGAAAACTTGCTTCTCGTATCTGCTGCCCCCAAAGAATAGTTGCAATGAAATTGAAGAAGCAATTCAGATTATAATTTTCCCAACAAAAATTGGTTGAAAAATACAATAACACTTTGATTCTTATCAATAAACAATAAATAATAAATAATAATGAAATAATGCTCACAAATAAACATAAACATGACACAACTCAACCGGAGAGTCAAAGAAATAAACCATAATCCTGAACCCAACTATTGTTGAAATGCCCAATCTGATTGTGAGACACCAACCTGCCAAACCCAATCCTTATGCTTATCACAAGGGCCTTCATGAGCGAGATTTCCCATAGAGATTAGCGTAAACAACCTTGGTCCGATACACCACAATCATACTCAACACTGCCGCGAGGATACACAACCCTGACATGATCATAAGGATCAGGAAAAAACACACTGCTCCATCACATTGTAGCGTCTCTTCCGTGCTTAGTGGCCTAGAAAGCATACTCCATATCACCCCTAAGAAGCTTGTTTTGGGGTGGTACACTTGAGCTTGTTTCTCGGCTTCATAATCATAAATAGTACTAGCTATCACCCCTGAAAATACAAGGGAACCAGCTGGGTTTGCCAAGGAGATGAAATTATATAAGATGCCAAAGTTCTTCAAACCAAATAGCTCAGATGCAGTGGCTGGGATGACAGCCCAATGTGCGCCGTAACCGAGGCCAATGAGTAAGGTGCCAACATAAATGACCCCAGGCCATGCCATGGCTAAGAGGAAGTGACCAATGGCCATTACCAGTTGTGCTATAGCAATTGTAAATGGTCTTGGATATGCATAGTGGCTGTTAAGAAAAGGAAAAGGAAGCAAGATATCACAACTGAAAAGATATCGACATCGTCTAGGTAAAAGAGAACCATCAGAAAAATAAGAGAGAGAGTGAGGCAATGAAATTGAAGACACAAGATGGTTATTTATATGTATTTCCATGTGCAATGCCTCAAGAGAAGGACATTGTTCCTTAGATGGTGAGGTTCTTCATGTTTCATTTTTGTTTTTCTTTTCCTTGAGGGGATTGTAGTTCAGCAGTAGGAGTTGAGCTCGAGACATAGTACTGCAATTGTCAAAAACTAACCTGTATGTTTTATGTTAGTGCTGGTTGGGGTCTTTGGAAATAGGATGGTAATGGTTTGTGTTCTGTATTACTGTTTTCGTATATTTTTGTACCAATTCATTTAGGTTGAGGGTTCCATCCTATCATTTCTCTCTTTCTCTCTCTCTCACACACATATATTGACAATATCAAAACCGTCATTTACTAAACAGCATCCCACAATTCAAGTGAGGAACCGGACCAATGACACTGCAAATCTAGTCCCTCAAAAGATTGTGGGAAAATCCAATTTACCTGATAACAACCTCAGAAATGTAACCCCCACCAACTCGACCAAGAAAGTTCCAAATGCTGATCATGGAAACAAATATATGGGTGTTCTCGTACCCCAAGGATTGGCTCAACTGACCCAAGTTATCAATCACTGTCAGGCCTGACCCCGAACCCAACAGGAGTGAGAAAAAGATTAGCCAAAAATCAGCTTTAATCAATGCTTGCATCAAAGTGAAGTCTTCCCCCCTACGCGGCCCTCTCCTCCTCTTCACAGCCCATCGGCAGCTGCATTTAGCAATCGAGCCTGCAACTCTGCAATTCTCTTCTTCCGGTCAGAAGCTGGGAGCAAATCAACCTCCCTTGGCTTCTCATCCTCAACTTCACTTAATATTACATCAGGTGTACTTATGGGTTGCTCATCTGTTTCTTGTCGTAGAGGCTCTTGCAATTGGCTCCTATCTACTCGAGATTTGGAGTCCTCAGAAAAATTCAATTTCAAAGGTATAACAATGGGAAGCAAAACAAGAATAAACAATATAGTAGTGAACACTATGGTCACATCAGTATTAACATCTGTTAAATCTTCGACTAACATAATTCCCATCAAATAAGCGGCCAAAAGGAGGCATACACTATACACAAATGTGAAGCTTGAAGTATCAGAAGTTCGAACTTGTCTGTGCCCTCCAACTGGTCTAACAAAGAACATAAGAGCAATGACCACCAAAGCTGGTCCTACAGCTATCATAAAGATGAGTGCAGCTTCATCAGGGGAATTGATCACAAAATATATTTGGGTCAAAATTGCACCACTGAGGCCTGCAAATCCCTTCAATATCCCCACAATTGGACCCCTGTGCGTGGGGAAGTTTTGAACACATGAGACCAATGCGACCGTGTTGTAATAGGTCTCTCCATTTGTACCAATAAATATAAGCACACACATCTGGACCAGTAAGATGGTAAGTATTACCAAATGATGTGGGATTAATGCATGGAAATTGCAATACAATGGGCTATGGAAAACCATAGGACCATCACCATCCAGTGAAATAATGAACATTGATGGAGAGGGTGGCACACACCAGTACAGGACATCTCCTCAAGGGTTGGTCCTAAATTCTCTCCATTACCTTCCATCTTTTAAATGGATAGTGCTGAATCCAGTGGACTACAGTATGGTCATTGGGATTATAGAATACTGTGCCATTAATAGAACAGGCACATTCATTTTATCCAAGGATGGATAAAGCTTTGGAAAATCAGTTTCCTAAGGAACAAATTAATTCTTTTACTCCCCTATGAATCAACTAGTGTATTACATCAAGCAGAAGCACTAAAAAATGAAGGAAATTCTTGCTCTCTTTTAAATGTGGTCCATAGATTGAATAGATATATATCAAGATATCTTAATACGGCAGTTTCAAGTTATATATGCAGATCTTACATACCATGAAGACAGGTAAAATTTCAAAAGTTTTGGACTTCTAAACGAAGATTCAATGCTGAAACGTATTTTGTATGAATTGAAATACCTAGATAGTGAATATCAGTAAGAGAACTGCTTTTTCTGTTCTTTATAAACAAAACAAGTTTAATAAATTGATAAATTATTTATCAATTGAGCTTAAATTGCAAGAGAAAACAAACTTCAGCCCATCTAAATGGGTCTTAAATCTTTCAAGGGAAAAGTTTATATAGAGCCTAGGCTCTAAATAATCAAATTAGCGCCTACATCAATACTTTCACTAAAAGAGGTTATTTTGATGCCCAAATATCATCAAATTGATCCTCTCGACATCAAGATACATGGACATGAGAAAAAAATAGATTTTAAGTTCTAGAAATAGCGCATCTTGTAATGCATTTTTGGACGGTCAATTTTTTAGATTTTCAAGTTTTCATAGATCTGCTGAATCTACACTACTTTTTAAGATTTAAATTTTATAACTACAGATGAAAATATAATTTATCAACTAAAGATGAAAATATAATTTAAGCTATCACAAAACTTTCCAGTATTGACACCCTATTTCTCGACACTATTTGAAGGTGGGCTCTAATTTGATTGTTTAGATCCTTGGCTCTATACAAAGCGCACCCATTTTTAAAGGGTATAATCTCATGAACTAGACCTTAAGAAGGTATAAATAAACCTCATAACCCTGGTATTTCTTGTCAAAAAAAGGGGGGCTGGGTCAGCTTGCTTGGGCTTCTTGGGATAAACTTCAGGGGGGTTCGAACCATTATCTCCTCTCACCCAGACCAATATGCTTACCCCTTAGCCGGCCTCTGAGGGGTAGAAGTTGTAGAATTAATAAGAAATAAGATTCAGAGAGCCAAATATGTAGACACAAATAGCTTTTAGTATATATAAAACAATGATTACAGAAAAACAAAGAAAAACAGAAACGACAATGAAAACTTTCAATGAGAATTAACAAGAAAGAAGATTCAAGTCCAAAACACATACAGCTTTTAGTATAGATAAGACAATGAATACAGAAAAAAAAGAAAAAAGATAGAAAATGAAGAAAGGAAACTGAAAACATTCAATGAGAATTAACAAGAAAGAAGATTCGAGTTCAAAACAGAAACAGCTTTTAATACACAAAAAATCCCATTTTGAATGATCACAAAAGCCTACCATTCATAAATTGTGCCATACCAACCACTTAGGCGCTCCAAGAAATCACTATATAATCCCATATGTGACAAATTCAAGATCACTAAGCCATGCAAGAACACAAATCCCAATCCCCAAGAACCCAATTCAATCCAAAAAGGCGTTAAAAAACCCTAACCCTAAGCAGCTAAACGACTCCTATGAAGGCCAGAGCATTGAGGATTAAAAGGAAAAATACTAAAAACCCCAATACGCCAATTCAGTTCAATAGCTTATAGTTATACTCAATGACTCAAATAAAGAAAGAGAAAAACCCAAAACTCAAATTAAATCAAACACTCTATTTATTTGAAAAAAGTTAAAATTCTTTTTACTTTGATCAAATATCTTACAAGCCACTACAAAGATCAAAATGAAAGCTTTTGATGAAAAAAAAGAGCATAAAAGGAGAAAGATAGAAGCTTACAGCCCATAAGGGAAGAGTGGCCACTCTTTTTGTGACTATGCGCCACACCCAGCCATACCCAACAAAATTTAAAACAGCTCCAACTAAAAGAGCTCCCCATGGTGGCAAAATTGCAGAGAGACTCCCTGTAACAAAACCAACACTACCACCAAGGTCTTTAGCAACACCAAGCCTTGCAAGCTGCCTCTGATTATAACCGAGGGAGCTCTTTATAACTGGGGAGATGCTCCCAAATATGTAACCAACCCCTGCAACAGATTGAACCCACATTGCAGCTACAAAGACCAGCCATCTGTTGTAGAAAAGAGCCTTAATTCTCCCTAGTTGCATGCTCATATTTTCCTCAAAGGCTTAAAACTGGGTTTTTCCTGAAAATTTATTTTCGACTGGTTTCTATGGATTTGATTTCTTTTAAGGGTTTTTTACATTGGAGTTTGTGTTTTTTCTTCCTGAATTTTGGATACACGGGCCAACCGCTATTTGGTTCAGGGGCTCGGACACTTCATGCATTTTCATTCGCAAAATGAGAAAAAGAGAGTGTAGATTGATAATTGAACAGGTGGACGTTGACTGAGAATGCGACAGGAGTGGATAGATGAGAGAGAGAGAGAAAGAGAGAGAAAAGAGAGAAAGAGAGAGAAAGGGACAGGGAGTTGAGAAGTGGCCGTCAATTTGCTTGGCACCTCGAGCTCTTAACCCTTATAGTCCCGCAGGAGCACAAGAACACACTTTTCATCCCACTACTCCCACTTAAATTTTTTCTTTCATGTTTTTCCTCAAAACAATTTTTTATGTAAATACCCTCAAAGAAAAAAATTTATTTTGTAGACGGAAATACCCTTTTTACACGCGAATCATTTTAGACAGGTTGACTTTTGGACCTACGACTACATTGTCGGGGCACACTATCACGTAAGCTCACAAGTGCCGGACCACCCTTTGCAACTGCCAAACTGTCCTTTGCAACAATCGAACCTCATTTTATACAGTATCGGGGCCATATTGCCAAACCGTATTTTACATAGTATCGGAGCCTTACTACCCGACCAAACTTTAGACAGTGCTAGACTGCTGCCAAACCGTATTTTACACAGTGCCGGAGCCTTACCGCCTGACCAAACTTTAGCCTAGACCGCTACTACCAGATCACATTTAAACAGTATCGGAACCTCTATTTTAGTGGGATAGAGGAGAGAGGCGTGAGTAAGGTAAAAGTAATGGAGGGTAGTTTAGGTATTTTTTTATTTTTTATTTCGTTCGGGGTTTTTGCATTAGAAAGTATATTTTGGAAAAAAAGTGAAAAAAAATTAGGTTCGTAATTTTGGTTTTTTTTTTTTTGTAAATTTCTCTAAAATAAATGAAAAAAGAAATATCAGTAAAAATCAATAAATAAATAAATAAAGATAAAAGAAATACTAAAGAAAAAAAAAAAAGAGAGCCGGGGTGGACTAAACTTGGCCGGCTTTAGTCCTAGCCAAGTCCTCAAGCCACATTTTTTTGTAGCCCAAGCCCTACTTTTTTAGGGCCAGGCCAAGCAAGCTAGGCCGGGCCCAACCCTATTATCAGAATTCGAGGTTCAACTTAAATATGCTCAAATAAGGTTAATATTTCGGAAAAAATTGGGCCAAAATGTTGAGTTTATCGCGCTGCATTAAGGGTGGAGAGCGAATAACGTAGAGAAGGTTAAAAGCTTATTAATTTGTCAAAAAAAAAGAAAGGTTAAAAGCTTATTTTAATCTTGGAAATTCTTGTTGAATTTTGGTTCGTTGAATAGTGGTAATTGAAGTCCTGTGATAAATAACGGCTGTCGATCACGACTGTCCTCCTTGTTTTTGTGATTCTATAACAAAAAAAGGGACCATTATGTTAAGGACCCGGTTTGTATGTAGCTAACCCCGCATATGTAGAAATGCGGGCTTGTTAATAAATCTATTTTTGAGATGGATTTTAAGACTTAATTTTTAAAGACATGTAAGCTGGAGATCATGAATATGAAAAAATAAACAAATTTTAAAAACTAGAAATAATAATTCTAGTAAGAAAACATTTGGACCGTTAGTTTTCATTGTTTTTAGATGGAACACCTACTTGCATCCATGTTTACCATGCATGATTTGCGCTTTCTAAATCGCATATGTAGAAATGTCGTCCAGCCCGCATGAAACAATTTTCCTTATGTTAATACACACTCAACAACAATCAATACCATGTTCAGGAGCAATGATTTTGATCTAAGACATAATTTAAGGGGTCAACCATTAATGTTTGGTACATCATTATAACAAAGGCAGAAACTGGCCGAACTAATCACCACGTTGTAGTTTTCATTACCACTTATACCACCCTACTAACACCTCCAAAAACCTAACTCTATAACTATTTGAAAAAACAGGTAGGGGCTTGTCTTCCACATTGAATTACCCAACAAAAAAAAAAAAAAACAGAAACAAGCTGAGCTTGACTGCCTAAGCCTGGCCTTTGTTCCCTTAGGGCTGGCCAAACTCAGCCTTGGCCTGGGCCCTACTTTTTAAAATCTGGGTTGCCGACCCTATTTATAACACTAACAAGAGTTGTCTTTATGGAACACAGTTGTCTCCCTTATACAAGGCTTAGTGTATCTCCGATTGGAGGCCTTTTTTAGACTAAGTTACATGTATTATGATGGAATATTTTATGGAGGGGAGTTACCACCCCTGTTTTACTAGTGGTTGTGGTTTCTATAAAGTTGCAACTTTAAACAATTCAATTAAGGCACACCTCCAAATTTTTTCATAAATGTAATTTTGATGAAAAGCATTTTTAAGATTATCTCAAAATCTATTTTCATGGAATTTTAAGAATATTTTACATCAAAATTATATGTTATGATAAAATTTGAAAGTGTGCCCTAAATGGATTGCTTAAAGTTGCAACCTTATGGAAACCACACCCTAATCTAAATCTATTTTTATACCTAATTATGAAATTTAAAGCTCTAAAATAATGTAGATCAACTGGATTTATAAATTCTTAGAAATTTTGAAAATGGGCAGTGTAGATAACATATTACAATATACATTATCTTTAGGAGTTGATTTTTTTATTTATTTAAGACATCTTGAAGTTAAGATAATCAAATATAAGGTTTATCGATGTCAAAACAACTTATTGGGTGGATTTTTGAGGTCAACTTTACTTCGATAGTACAAGGTTGAAAATTGACACAAAAAAGAAGAGAGGAAGAAGGTATGTAAGTACATTGTAAAGTGGTTTTACATGGCCGACATTCCTTTTAATACTATAACCCTTGATAGTTTTGTATGTATGGTTCAAACAATTGGGCAATTTGGCTCAGGACTTAATTCTCACACACTACATGAGATTTGGGAGCCATTATTGAAGGATTTTGTATCCGATGTTAACAAAATTTTAACCACTCAAAGAGAAGGGTGGGAGAAGTATGTGGCAATTGTTATGTGATGGATGGTTCGATAGAAAGTCAAGGGCATTTATTAATTTTTGGTTAACAGTCCAACATGTACTTTTTTGTTAAGCCTGTTGATGCATCAAACATGTCACATGATGCTACATACTTATGTGACTTGATGGATGAGATAATAGAATTTGTTGGAGAGAAATATGTGGTACATATTGTAATAGGTAATAGTGCTAATTAGGCTACTGCTGGACATTTTTTTACTTTGAAGATGATGTATATGTTTTAGACTCCTTGCACAACTCATTGTGTTAATTTCATGCTTTAGAAAATGGGTACAATATCTATATTTAGTGGGGTGATTTCAAAAGCTATGTTTGTTGTTGGATTTATTTATAATCACACTATAGTCTTTAGCATTATGATGAGTTTTAAAAAGAAAAGAGATATAGTGAGAACTGGTGTCACTGGATTTGCCACATCATTTATCACTATTCAAAGCCTTTGCGAGATAAAAATAATTCCTTGAGGATTATATTTTCTTCAAAGCAATGTAGTAAAAGTAAGTGGTCAAAGTATCGGGATGAGAGAAAGGTTGAACCAATTATTCCCAATACATATTTTTGGAATTAGATATATCAAGCATTAGTGGTGGCAAGCCCTTTTGTGAGAGTGCTTCAATTTTTTGATGGTGAAGTAAAACCCGCTATGGGCTACATATATAAGGCAATGCCTAAGGTAAGAGGAGAAGTAAAAAATTGCTTTCAAGGATGATGAAAATAAATACAAGGCTACAGTTGGAATTATTGAAAAGATATGGGATAACTAGCTTCACAGGCAACTCCATTCAGCTGACGACTTTCTAAGTCTACCTTTTCACTACAAGTACCCAGCCATTGAGTTTGATGGTGTAATAAATGATGGCTTCTTAGATGTGCTTAAGAGGTTGGTTCCTAACAAAGATATCTAAGATGAGATCCAGAGCCAAGAATTAATTAAGTTCAAGTTAGTATTGGGAGACTTTGGGAGAGAGATTGCGACTCGAAACATGGACACTACAGATCCAGGTAAAGGCCAAAAGTACCCTTTATAATTTCTATTTTATTTTCTTTATAGTTTTATACTTGTCTAATATATAGTTCCATTTATATAAATAATTAAATATTTATCTAAAATCTAAATTATAGAATATTAGACAGCTGCATGATGAGCATTATATGGAAGCGATACACCAAATCTACAACGTCTCACTATTCGAGTATTGAGTCTCATTTGTAGCTCATCTTGTTGTGAATACAATTGGAGTACATTTGAGTATGCAAGTCCTTAATCCTTATTTCTTAGATTTCAAATTTCAATTTTCTAAAATCTAACTTATCTAAGAAGTTTAAAAGTAGAAACAAGAAAATAACGTATGTTACTTTTGCTCGTTTCCTGTTTTCTATCACAACTCCATAACAAAAAAACAAAAGGGAAAGGTTTCTATACTTCCCTTAATACAGAGAAGATCTCCTCTAACATTCAGCCGTCCAATTTTGATCAAGAGAGCCGCTCACCGTTAGATCTTAAATCTGACGTCTCAAAATTTTTTTATTTTTTGTTTTTTTATACAAATTTTATGAATATGAAATTTGATACGTACTATCTTCTCATTGGGATGCACCTATAAAAAATATTAAAAATAAGTTTTCGATAAAATATAATGACCAAAATACCCCTTAAAAATTTCAAGGGTATTTTGATCATTTTATTTTATTAGAAATATTTTTTTTTATATTTTTAGCTTGTACAAGTTTAATAGAGGATTGGACGAAAAAAATTTGATGTTAAAATAATTTTTAAAAAAAATTAAAAATAAAATGGTGTAAAGATGTGACATTGTGATTGGGGCAATCTTAGCCCTCCATTCAAAATGGACGGTTGAATAAGGGGAAGTATATAAGTTTTATGTTGTAGGGGAAACATATAAATCTTGCCCAAAAAAAAAATAGGTTGGACCAGAAGTTGTTGAATGATTTGGTTTATTGCCGTATCATAAGTGGCATAGAGAGAGGTACAAAAAGCGCATGGATCTCAACCCTATTCAATTGTAT